CAAACTGAAGAAATGTGAATAATGTATGAACATTAGGTAATAATAATATGTCGATATTAATTAGTTGTAACCAACATACCACGCTAATGTAAGACATTAACAATGGGGGAAACTGGGTGTAGGGTACATAGGAACTCTCTGTACTAGCTTCACAATTTTTCTATACATCTAAAAGTGTTCTAAAAAATAAAGTTTATTAAAAATAAAAATAACAGGCCGGGCGCGGTGGCTCACGCCTGTAATCCTAGCATTCTGGGAGGCCGAGGCGGGTGGATTGCTCAAGGTCAGGAGTTCGAAACCACCCTGAGCAAGAGCGAGACCCCGTCTCTACTATAAATAGAAACAAATTAATTGGCCAACTAATAGATATAGAAAAAATTAGCCGGGCATGGTGGCGCATGCCTGTAGTCCCAGCTACTCAGGAGGCTGAGGCAGGAGGATCGCTTGAGCCCAGGAGTTTGAGGTTGCCGTGAGCTAGGCTGACGCTATGGCACTCACTCTAGCCTGGGTAACAAAGCGAGACTCTGTAAAAAAAAAAAAAACGGAAAAAAAAAACAAAAGCAAAAAACAAAGAGGCATAAAAGGCATAGCAAGCAATTGCAATATATGATTCATCTTTGGATCCTGATTTTAACAAATTGTAAAAGTAAACTATGAAATGTTAGGAGAAATTTGAAGAGCCTGGATATTGGGTGGTATTAAGGATTCCTTAATTGGTTTTGCTTGTTTCTTGTATAAAAATGGCATGTTATATTTAAGTCATCTTTCATTGTACTAATTTTGCTGCTTTTATATATGTTTGACATTTTCCAAAAAAAAAAGTGGCAGAAAAATTTGTAAGGTCTTCATGTTTTAGATACTTAAGTTTTTAACCATCTTGCTATTTGTAGGGGATGCTTACTAAATCATTAGTAAGTATCTCAAAGTATAGTTACACTTTATTTTTTTTTAATTAAAAAAATAGTTCTATTTTCTCTTCCTGCACACCAGTGGAATTCCTTGGAACTCAACATGCTGGATAAAATCCAACACTGAGACAAACTCTTCACATAGGAAGAGGAACCAGTCGTGCATATGTATGTCCCTCAAATGTTAATTATATCTCAGTGGCTTATGAACACTGTGACTAAACTCCACATCTAAGGCATATTTGAGGAACATATGTAATCCAAGCTGTATTGGCACGAGCCATCACCTGCTTTATTGCAAGGAATTAGCCTCCTGCTCTTCCTCAGCATGCCCTAGGTACCTTTGCACAGGTTCTTAGGCACAGGTCTCATGTGTTCTGCCCCAGCTGTCTTGCCTGGCCACTGCCACCAGCAACCTCAGAATTGCTCTGCTGGGCACAGCAGGCTTGTGCTGGTGGTAGAAGCTCCTACTAGGAGCATTTATTTGGGCTTGGGGTTGGGGGAGGCCAACTTCATTCTCAGCCCAGCAAAAACCAGATCCAAACTTTTAATGAGGCTTTATTCATTTATTTATCCTCATTTATTCATGAGGATAGTTGGTGTATTAGTTTCTTGTGGCTGCTATAACAAAGTACCACAAACCCAGTAGCTTAAAACAATAGAAATTTATTTTCTCACAGCTATGGAAGCCAGAAGTCTAAAGTTAAGGTGTTGGTAGAGCCATGTTCCCTCTGAAGGCTCTAGGAGAGAACCCTTCCTTGCCCCTTCCAGCCTTGGGTAGCCCTAGCAGTTCCTTGGCCTATGGCAGCTTCACCCCAGTCTCTGCGTTGGTCTTCACATTGGGCATCTTTCTCCTGTGTCTGCACCTCTTCTTACAAGGACACCAGAAATACTCTTAGGGCCTACCCTACTCCAGTGTGATCTCACCTTCACTAATCACATCTGCAATGGCTCCATTTCCATATAAGGTCACATTCTGAGAGGGGCAGGACTCCAATGTATCCTTTGGGGGGTAGGGGGGAGACACAATTTAACCCACAGGGGTTGAGAACAATTTAGACTGCTGCATGGCCCTCGATCTGTCCTCAGAGTTCCTTGCTGAGCCCACTTGCTCTCACATGGCCCCCTTCATGGACTTAGGGCTGCTCACTCATTTTCCTTCTTCTAGGAGTGCTCCATTCTCAGGGTTCAGACCAGACTGATCCTGTTTCAGAGAGGGCAGGGTTTTCTCTCCCTGAAGTGAAAGCCAGGGGACTTGCCTTTCCCAGACGGCTCTCATCCTAAAATGCTGAGGGCAGGGCCATCAATTCCCTGCGGAGGAAACCCCTCTCCCGTCCACAGGAGGATCTGTGCGTTTGATTCCAACAAGATGAACACACACTAGACTAACCTTAGCATGTTTCCCCAAATCTGCACTGTTTGATTTTGAATAATACCCATGTGAGACGTAGATCAGTCTGATTTGGCTTATACTAAGATTAACATGAGTCTTGTTCTTCTCCAGGCTTCCCTCATCAAATTTTTTTTTCTCATGTCAGACCGGTAATGTGCCGACATTGTAACAAGGTTGGAGGGAGGCACATCTCACACATGCACGTGAAAACCCAATCATCACGCTTATGAACTACAAAAGGATCGCTCATCAAATATTTAAAAAATAAAACAATAACACACTCCTTAATGTCCACTTTCATTGGAGTAAAATAATTTCCCAAATGTCCTTTTGATAAAAACAAGCACCGCAGTGGTTTTTACTCAGTCTAATTCAGTGTTAGAAAAAAAAAGTTTTGTATATCACCTCTGGGAATTAAACAAGCAGAACCTGCTGAGGGCAAGTTGACTGTGGCAGCAGATGTTCCAGCTACTGAAAAGTAAAAGGTTAGTAACCGAGTTATCCAATCACAAGAGCTACTTTGGATACAAAAGCAAGCCCATCGTTTCCTCCAACCATGTTCCTGTCTGGCTGCAGTCAGGTATTTCTATGTGAATTCATACAATCAGTTCCTATTATTTTAGGTAACTTGAGTCATTTCTTTTTCTTTTTTTTTTTTTTTTTGAGACAGAGTCTCACTTGTTGCCCAGGCTAGAGTGAGTGCCGTGGCGTCAGCCTAGCTCACAGCAACCTCAAACTCCTGGGCTCAAGCGATCCTCCTGCCTCAGCCTCCCGAGCATGCGCCACCATGCCCGGCTAATTTTTTCTATATATATCAGTTGGCCAATTAATTTCTTTCTATTTATAGTAGAGACAGGGTCTCGCTCTTGCTCAGGGTGGTTTCGAACTCCTGACCTTGAGCAATCCGCCCGTCTGGGCCTCCCAGAGAGCAAGGATTACAGGCGTGAGCCACCACGCCTGGCCTTGAGTCATTTCTTAAACCCCAAAAAATTCTCCCCACTCAGAAATAAAGGAATCTTTTCAACTCTTGGGTCTGACCTGCAAAGGGCTTTTGGACAGCAACTGGAAGATTTATTGAATGAGGTTATCCTTTACAACTGTGCTCCTCAATCTGGATTACTGACATTCTCAGGCTAGGGTAGTGCTTTCAAACTTTTTGAGGCAACCCACAGTAAGAAACATTTTACAATGGATCCCAGTACACAATACAAATATAGCACATATGTAAATAAATATACATACACAAACACATAATTTACTATGCATAACACGCTCTTTTCTATTCTGTTCTTATTCTAAAAAGACAAACCAAAAAATCCACTAAATTGATTTTATAATCCACCAAGGAGTTTAGCAGTATCTGTCCAAAAATACTATGGTGGGGGTGTCCAAATCCACAAGATAAACACGATACATTTTTCTGAAGACAGCATTTTAAGACCTTTAGTTTAAAAATATTTAAACAAATTATAAAGTAGAATGCAAAATTTCCTTAAAATAAAACAGAACTTCGAAGATATTTATCACTTCCAGCTGGCTGCCTGGGGCTTCAGTCTGTGGGCCCCTGAGGATACAAAACGCACATCCCCCCTCCTAGGAAAGTGGGAAAACTGGAGGGAGGCCGCCCTAGGCTCGGTGCTCCAATTCTGCAAGGCGTATCTGCAGAACTCACCTCTAAACCTCCACACCGGGGAAGCCAAGGCCCGCACCCAGCCTCCCAGGGTCATTCCTCTCTGACGCTCACCGGGAAAGGGCCAAGGGCACTGACCGGCGCGTGGGGTCCCACTCAGGCCTCTGCAGATGCACGCTGCCAACCAGCCCAAGAACAAGGGCAGACTCCCGGGAATAACGGGGTGTCTGCCTAGTTAGCAAGCACCAAGTGCACGTCTACCACGATGGACAAGTCTTCCCCGGCTGGCCAGTCTGTCAATGGGATCTGCGTTTCCTCGGGCCTGGCTTCCAACCTGTCACCTCCACGGACCAGGCTCTGCCCTCCCTGCACTCCAGCGGGGCCCCGCCCGACCCCTCTGGCTGGCACCGCCGGGAGAACCATGCCCACGCGGAGCGGGCAGCCGGCGGCCGCCTCCCGCCTTTCTCGCCGGCCCGGGCCCGCCCGTCGCGGGGCTCACACCAGAGCCCACGAGGCTCGCGCCTTTCTAATGAAACCCCTAACATTCTGCATGAACGCAGAGCCCATTCTTCCCACAGTCCTTCAGCCACGGACGACGCTTAGTCACCACCTGCATCCTCAAAGCCGAACTGACTAACGCTAACACAGCAAGACGGAAAGGAGAAACACGCACCGCGCCGGGGCCGGCCAGCCCGCCACGGCCACGCGCCCCGCGCCCGGAAAAGGCTCAGCGGGCGCGAGCCCGCCAACCGCTCGGCGCCCGCCAATCACTGCACCGCCCACCACTTGCCCCGCCCTGCGTCCCGCTCTGGCCAATCACTGGGGAGCCACCGTCTCTCGCTCCGCCTCTCCCGCCCGCCCCCCACCCGTTGGAAGTTTGAAGTCTTCAAACCTCGCCGGCGCCCAACTGCGAGGTATCGGCTGGGGTGTATTTTTAGCTCCCGCGCCAGCAGCCCCGCCGCCCCACCCCGCCTTTTCGCCACCCCCAATGGGAGACGGAGTTTCCGTCGCGTCATCGCATGGATGAGCGGGAGCTATCCAATCAGCGCTCAGGGAGAAGTGGCGTAATTAAAAAGCGGCGGAAGAAGGTGGGAGGGTCATGACGCAGCGAGTTTCAGTCGTGACTTTTCCGGGGGCTTCTCGGCGCCCTTTTTTTTTCCCTTTAAAGTAAAAGGTCGCCCCAGCGCATCCCCCAGCGCACTTCGCGGGGCGGAGGCGGCGGGCCGCGGCGGGGGCAGGGCGCCGCTGACGTGGGCCGGGGGCCGGCCGCGGCGGGCGGTCACGTGGGCGTGTTGTGGGGGGAGGGGCGCCGCCGCGCGGTCGGTTCCGGGCGGTTGGGAGCGCGCGAGCGAGCGAGAGGCAGCCGCGCCCGCCGCCGCCCCTCTCTGTATGCCGCTGTCCCCCGGCGCGGCCGCCGCGGATCGCAGCAGCAGGAGCCGCCGCCGCCGCGGTTGATGTGGTTGGGCCGGGGCTGAGGAGGCCGCCAAGATGCCGCAGTCCAAGTCCCGGAAGATCGCGATCCTGGGCTACCGGTCTGTGGGTGAGTGGCGGGCGGCCGCGCGGCCTTCTCGTGCCCACGGGCCAGGGCCTAGCCTGGGCGCCGAGTGGCGGCCGGGCCTGCGAAGTTTGGAACCGGCGCGGCCATGTGGAGGGAGGCTGGGCGGGCGGGGGCCGCGCGTTTCGTAACCACCATTTTGAGCAGAGGTGGCGGCGGTCCGGGCGGCGTCGGCGCCCGGCGGGGAGGTGCGGAAGCCGGGCGCCTTCCCCGGGCCCCGACGGACAGGTGGCGGCTGGGGGCGGCGGATGTGGGTGGCCGTGGGGGAGGCTGCGGGCGCGGAACACGCTGGGCGCCGGGGATGTGGGGGCCCCCGAGTACGGAGGAGTCCCAGGTGTGTCTGGGGCAAGTAAGGCGGTGGTGGGAATAATTTGCCACTGTGCCAGGATTGTGCTGCAAGGCACTCCCACAAGGAAGGAGTCACACCTGTCCCTCTCAACCTTTTCGCTGCAAGCTCTGGCAGTCTTCCCTCGCCCCTGCCCCAAATTAAATAAAGTCCGTGGGGTTTTAACAAAGGAGAGACAACACCTTGGGTTCTTTCCATCTGTAGTGAAGTTCAACCTTGTAAAGAAAACTAGGGACTTAAAAGGACGTTTGGCTACTGAGGGCAAGTTTCTTGTCTAAGAAACCGAGAAAAGCCCCCAAAAGAAACCTCTTGGAGATCCTTTAGATACAGTCGGTGGCCAAAATAGGAAGAGAGAGAGAAAGAAATTTCTGATCTCCGAGTGTCCTATTTTCTTCGGGAAAAAATAAGGTCAGTTACTTGCAACCGGGTTGTTGAAGTAATTCAAGTGTCTTTTTGTTTTCTTCCCGCCCCCCCCCCCCAAAAAAAGGTTGACATATATTTGAAAGTGCTCCTGGCCTTATTGCTGAATAGAGGTGGCCTGGGGAGGGGGAGGAGTGGGGTGGGGTGGGAGGCGGACAGGGTGTCAGAAAATGAGTAGTTTTCTATCTTTTGAGAGAACTGAACGGGTGAACTTAACCGTTCTTCATGGTGAAGCTTTATTGTCTTTGTCAACCGGAAGCCTGGAGAAATTAGTTCATCTTTTAGTGCAGTTTTTAAGTAACTGTTTAAAGAAAATGTGCATTTGATCACAGTGTAGGGGTGGGAGTGTAAAAGCGAGGGTTTGGAGTCTCCGGTGATTGCGGAAGGAGGTAGCAATGACTGCCACAGGAAAGCTTGCAGCTCCGTCCGCTCATTGGATGAAGTCCCCGGCTGTGCTTGCTGTTCTGCTTCCTCACCCTCACTTTCCACCGCCGGTGCCAGGGTTTGTGCTCTTTGACCAAGATCAGCGACAGTATGCTTACTCATCCTTCTACCATCTCTCTCGTCAAGTGCTGGGGGGAAATCATGAAGGAAATGATCAAGGGCTCAAAGAAGCTTCTGTAGAGATAAGGGGTGCCAAGAGTCACAGGGGTAGCTCTTGTGTGCTGCAGTGCCGAATCAGAGGGGGTAGATAGGTGACAGTCTTAACAGCTGTGGCCATAAAGTAAACCATGCATCAAAAATGGAGCCTTTTAAAGTCACTAACTGTCCACTTTCCAAATGTCAATATGGAACCCGGGATCCAGCCTTTATTGGCAGCCTGAATCACCATGCTCTTGCATCCCTCTGTTATGTTTATTACCTTCTCTGGTCTTTGGAGAGTGGAACCATGACATATCCTGGCTCTTGAGTGAGCCCTAGCTGATCAGGCACCTTGTGCCAACTATTGAAGATAGTGAGAAGTACCTAGGCTACCTGATTTCATCCCTGGAGTGACCTAAAGATTCTGACTGACTGACTTCTTTACAATTTTGAAATGGTGGTTCTGATCTTTAGTGAGCAGGTCTAGTGTTTTATTACTGTTTTGCTAAAAAAAAGATTCCTTATGTCCAGTTGAAATCTGTTCTGTTTTGTCTTCTAAACAGAGTCCTCCTGAAGACTGAGATGTAACAGGCCACCCTTTAGCCTTCTGTTCACAGACATTTATTTTAAACTGCTGTTTGTTAAATACTGTGCTAACTTAGTCTCTGGTGGGATGCAGAGTAACTATTTTAAAAGATTTTGGAATGGTTAAGTTGCTCCCAATCTTGCATTTAATTTTAAAGTTGTTTACCATTATTATGAGCTGGGATATTTTGTAGTTTGTGGCATCTTTTTTTAGGGGGCAAGGGGTTAGTTTTTTGTCAGCATGATCCCACGTAATAGCCACTCTTCTGCAAATTACTCAGTATTCAGACTGTAGGAACTTACTAACATGCTGGCTTGCAAATGGTGCTATACATATGTTTCTAGGTTGTGCTATTTTGTGATGTTAACTTGTTTTGTCCTATCGACTGAATAAAGAGTCGTAGCAAAAGGCTTCACATCTTTCTTAGAATGTTCTCGTGATTAAATATCTTCCGGCCAGTTTGACTAGTAGAATACTTGTCATTGTGACTTTGTCATATCACAAACTTTATTTAAAAAGTTTACCTTCAGATAAAACTACAAAATGCTTATAATTGCTTCCAAATTTTGTATTTTAAAAAAATACAGAGTGAACTGCCAGTATGGAAAAAATAATTCTCAGGTGGTTTATACAACCCTTTTTTCCCCCTGAAGTACTTTTCCTGTTATTCGCAGTGTTAAAGCTTTTAAGGACACGTCACCTATAACTCAGTCTAGCTTTCAGGAAGTGCTTTGTATTAATTGTTTTGGTGGTTGCCAAATATACCAGCTCCCTTACATTCTGTTGCTTCTAATACAACAGAGTAGCCCCAGGATAGAAGAAACTAAAGTGAAAGTTGTAGTGTGTCAGATATACTATCTTCAATCTGGTACTTCTTTCACTGGAATCTTACACTGAGAGCTTTGGAAATCTAGTTTACATTTAGACCATAATCAAAAGGTATTTGTCATATGTAAGTCTCTTGTGTATGGTTAACAAGAGGGATGGGATCACAGGCATGTGAAAGCTGGTAAAAGAGAAAATAAAACAACTTTGTGGTTTTGTAAAAGGCAGTTCAGCAAAAGTACTCAAATTATCTCATCAAGATGTTTTAGGTAGTATTTGGATACCTCTTAGGGACAGCTGTCATTGAATATTTTGTTCCTAATAGAATACAAATTGTATTCTGACTTTAACAATCTATTTTTAAGTTATCCTGTCCTTTTTGCCAAATTTTATTAAAAATTGAAAGGTGAAAACGTTATTTGCCCTTGTAAAATCTACCAGTATGTGAAATTGCATATTCAGGTGCTTAATAACATTTTTGAGTTGTGTGATTGTGGGTGGATGTAGTCCTGTAGTGGCTACTTTGTATTAAAGCTTGAAATTACTGTTATTCCGTCCCATTCATTGTTCTTTACAAGAGTGTAATCAGAACTTGAATTTGTGATTTTTGAGTTCCTGGTGCCAAATATTGATGTCCATGTGTGTTGTGTCAGGGCTATCTGTACTTACCTTCATCGCCCCAAAAAGAAACACTGTGCTCCTTAGCAATCACTGCCCATCCTCCCCACCTTGCAGCCCCTGCCAACCACTAATCTACTTTCTGTTTCTATGAATTAACTTATTCTGGACATTCCATAAATGTGATCATTATATGTAGTCTTTTGTGACTGGCATCTTTCACTTAGTGTAAAGTTTTCAAGTTTCCTCCATGTTGTAGCATGTATCAGTACTTCATTCCTGTTAATTGCTGAATAATATTTCATTATATGAGTATACCACTTTTTTCCTATGGGTTTGTCAAGTGGGTATGTGAATTGTTTCAGCTTTTAAGCTATTATGAATAATACTGTTTTTGAACATTCTTGTACATGCTTTTGTGTATATGTAAGTTTTCATTTCTCTAGGGTATATTCCTAGGAGTGGAATTACTGGGTCATGGGGTAACTCTATGATTAACATGTTGAGGAACTGTCAAACTGTTTTGCAAGGTAGCTGTACCATTTTATATTCTCATGAACAATGAAAGTAGGTTTAAATTTCTCCGCATCCTTACCAGCACTTGTTATTGTCTGTCTCTTTGGTTTTAGCCATCCTAGCTAGTGAATATGAAGTGGTATAATATATAATTTGTAAATAATGTCTCCCATCTGTGGCTTGTCTTGTCACTTGAAGCAAAAGCTTTTAATTTTGAAGTCCAATATATCTTTTTTGTCACTTGTGCTTTCAGTGTCACATCTAAGTAAACCATTGCCTAATCCAAGGTCATATAGATTATTACTATGTTTTCTTCTAGATGTTTTTATACTTTAAGTTCACACAGTAGGTCTGTGATCTAGTTGTAGTTAGTATTTGTTTATGGTGTGAGGGAGAGGTACAACTTCATTCTTTTACATGTGGATATCAAGTTGTGCCATCCTCTTTTGTTAAAAGACACTCTTCATTGAATTCCCTTGTTGAAAATTAAGTGACCATAATTTTAAGAGTTTGTTTCAGGACTCTCTCATTCCATTACTTTATATGTCTGTCCTTATGCCAGTACCACACAATCTTGATTACTGTAATTTTGTAGTCAGTTTTGAAATAGTGAGTCCTCTAATTTTATTCTTTTTCAAGATTGTTTTGGCTATTCTGAGTCCCTTGCATTTCTGTATGATTTTTAGGACTAAGTTGCCAATTTCTGCCCAAAAAGCAACTGTGATTTTTTTTTTTTTTTTTTTTTTGAGACAGAGTCTCACTTTGTTGTCCAGGCTAGAGTGAGTGCCATGGCGTCAGCCTAGCTCACAGCAACCTCAAACTCCTGGGCTCGAGTGATCCTTCTGCCTCAGCCTCCCGAGTAGCTGGGACTACAGGCATGTGCCACTATGCCCGGCTAATTTTTTATATATATATATATCAGTTGGCCAATTAATTTCTTTCTGTTTATAGTAGAGACGGGGTCTCGCTCTTGCTCAGGCTGGTTTTGAACTCCTGACCTTGAGCAATCCGCCCGCCTCGGCCTCCCAAGAGCTAGGATTACAGGCGTGAGCCACAGCGCCCGGCCTGCAACTGTGATTTTGATAAGAGTGT